GGGACATTTAGCTGCCTGACAGTCACCCAAAATTCTTCTGCAACTCTGGGGTATCAAACTTTGGCCTGTAGGCCTAGTATATCTGATAGATATTTTTGAGAAGCTGGGAATTTTGCAGGTCTGTCCTACTTTGTCTTGGCAATGTTTGGCAGTTGCTTTTTTTTTTTTTTTTTTTTTTTGGATACTGCTGGTCCAGTTTGAACAGTATAACCTTAGCAATTGAGGCAAGGGCAGTTTTTTTGACCAAATAGCTAGCTTTTGCCATGAAAAAAGCAAACTCCATGCACAGGTTCTTTGATGCCCATTATCCTTTTTTGAAGTAAATTGACACTGTCAGAAATAGACATGTCTCACTGTCATGAAATGGTGAGGTTACTAACCATATTAAATGCCATATTCTAGAGTTCTTTGAAGTGTTTGAAGACCATCTATCTATCTAAATGTATCTGTTTAACCTTGAAATATACCTAATATGACTACAAGTTTGATTCTTTTAAATGACTATTACTAAGCTCTGTTTTTAATTAAACATTACATTTTAAGTGAGTTGCATAAGCACAATATTTCAAACAAGAGTAGAAACATGATACTGTATAACAAAATTAAACCCAAATCCATACCAATGTAAAATATTTTGATATTAATAGCTGTTTTTTTGGATTAAAGGAGATTTTTTAATTTAACTTTTTCTTTTAGCATTTTTTTTACAATGACCAATGACAACTTGTAATCAAGCCCTGTAAACAATGACAAACATTCATAATTCTTTAAATAACCAAACCCCACCCATACTCCATCTCTAACCTCAAAAACATATATACTGTTATATAATATAATATATTATAAATATACAATATATGCTATTATATTTATAGTGTTATAAATATATTACATTGTAAGATATATATCATATGATATATTATAATATATCATATTATATAACTATAACTAGTTATATATAAACCCAATGACCACATGGAGGGCCAGGACAAAACACCTAGAGTTTATAGCTTCTTCTAGCTCTGATGTTCCTACCCATGTCTAGCCTCATGTTTCAGAACCACGCATGTTGTGAGGGAGTAAAGACCAGGATACAGGGAGCTATGTCTATAATTAGAGAGACTAGTCCTTTACTGTGCATCTGTTACTTCTCATGCTCCATCCTTTTTAAAGTCAAGTGAATCTGGTGCTGAGTGAAGCTCATTAGTGCTTCATTCACTTACTTATGGACAAATCCAAAAGATGGACAGGTGATGCCTACCATTTTTATCATTTTTGGAAATGGCATATAAGAAGTGCATGGACTTAAAGCCAGGTGGTGGTGGTGCACGCCTTTAATTCCAGCATTTGGGAGGCAGAGGCAGGTGGATCTCTTCGAGTTTGAGGCCAGCCTGGGCTGTAGAGTGAGTTCCAGGAAAGGTGAAAAACTACACAGAGAAACCCTGTCTCGAAAAACCAAAAAAAAAAAAAAAAAAAAGTGCATGGACTCATGCTAAATGTGGTGGAAAGTGCAAAAGTACAACTTCTTCCTGAATTTGTTAAGTTGAAGCTTTAAATATTGAAGAAGCAACCTTCTTTCAGAAGGCTAAAGTATAGGACAACAGGGGTAGGGAAGACTCATCCTCAGAAGCATGAAGATAGGGGTCCTTGTGAGAAAATAAGTGTGATTTGGGTATTCGTATCCTAGCAAGTCCTGGACCTTCTAATCGTCTTTTGTTGAGCTGTTAAGTGAAAGAAGAGGACAAATAGACAGTGCAGTGGGCTAATATTACAAAACTCATAGCTACATTTATTAGTCATACTTTGGCTTTACTCAACTCTGTAGATACTCGAAGATGATAAAGCTCAAGTGAAATTTAAGTCTGTTAGTTTTTTTTAAGCAATCTGTATCACCCTAAATTATCAGCCTAGGCTAGAAATAGCTTGAAGTCTTTTCAAGATGAGGCATCTTCTATATTTCAGTTTTGTGTAGGATGTGTTTAAAACTCTGGTCATATCATGAGTGGACGTATGAGTTATGTTTGTCACTTTTTTTCCTGACACAAGGTCTCCTGTAGACCAAGCTGGCCATAAACTTTGTATGTTGCCTAGAATGACCTTGAACCCCTGATTGCCCCACCTTCACATCCTGAGGACTGGAATTACATACGTTTACCACCTCACCTGGCTTATGCAATAGTGGAGATCTAGCCAGGGCTTCATGCATGAGAGTCAAGCACTTTGAAAACTGAACCAGGCCACTCTCACTACTTTAAAGGAGTAAGTATACAAGGTACATAAATGTCAAGCAATAGGTGACAGTTAGTGGTAATACAATGGATACAGATTTGTAAAGAGTAAGAGCATAACATAGGCAAATAAAAGGCACCACAGACTACTACAGAACTGCAAACATAATATGAAAATAGGCTAAAGTATTGAGCTTACTGAATCAAAAGGGACAGAAAGAGTCAAGAGAGGTCATCATTTCTGTCAAATGTTAAAAGAAAATGTTAAAACAAAAAATGTATATGTGTGTGTTTACCTGACTATGTTTGTGCACCAGAAGAACAGAGAACTAGTAGGGGCCAGAGGAGAGTGATGGATCCCAGGAACTGGAGTTCTAGCCAGCTGTTAGCTACCATGTAGGTGCTGGGAACTGGATCACAGTCCTTCATAATAGCAGAAAGTTCTCTTCACTGCTGACACATCTCTCCAACCCTAAAGTTTACAAGAGCTAAGAAATGTAGAGGTGGAGTCCTCAGAAGAGGTTGTAAAATTATTTTTAATTTTTATTATATTTGCACTTCAGACTTACAAGACTGTTAGTGTATGTGTATTACTTTTCAAAAAAAAACACAGTTTACAGTTGTGGTTATTTTTTTGTTTTGTTTGTTTTTTAGAAAAGTAAAAGTGGAAGAGCTGGTCTATAATGAGAAGGCTTCTCTATATTCATCAATAGGAAGATATATGAAAGAAGTGCTGTTGGGGGCCATCTTCTGAAGGAAGACTGGCAGAAACTCCAGGATCGCATGTTCTCCAGAGAATTGTTAAGGTGGTGAAGGGAGCCCAGGTTATACAGGTGAGGAGAGATGTCATAGATGACGAAAGAGCTAATGGGGGAAGAAAATAAACTTTATTAGAGTGCATAGCGTGTTCAGAGATAGTGGTCACTGTGCTTCAGATTAGTTACAACCCAAGGACTGGCTTCCTGTAAATCTTTATTTTTACATTTCATTTATTTATTTGTGTGTTTGTGTGCATGCATGTGGATAGTGCACGTGCCATGACACTTGTGTGGAAGCCAGAGGAGAATTTGTAGGAGCCCATGCTGTACTTTCACCATGTGGGACCCGGCGATCAAATCCGGGACTTGGGTTGGACACTATGTGTTTTCACACCTGCTGAGGCATCTCACCAGCCCCAGATATGCTTTTCAAGAGACTTCCATTTCCCTATATTATATAACATATTAAACACAATTCTAGCTTTTCTTCTACGTCTCATTCTCCTCTCCCTCTTTTGTTGAGCACTGCTCACTAGCTCACTAAGGCAGGATGGTTTTACAGCTAGGATATTAAGAATATATATTATATTTCTAGTGAGTTAATGTTTTTATTAAATACGGAACAACATTTTGATCTCAAATGGAATTGCCTGGTGATAAATGTTTTGTCCTCTTAAATCACAGTATTTCTGCCAGTGAGCATTGCTGTGACTAGAATAGACTAAAAATAAAAGACTCTCCTTTTCTCTCCTCTCCCCCTTCCTCCCTCCCCCACCTCCCTCTCCCATCACTGTCTTTCACTTCCTCTTTTCCTCTCTTGCATATACATGAGACTGGGAATTCTTCTTAGAATTGGCAAACAGGACCCAAAATCTACTTAGGACCAATTTTTCTATTTACACATTAAACAGGCTGCTGCTGCTTACATGACTGCCATTTTTTACTGTAACAGGATTCATCTATTGTTCTTTATTAGAGCCTTAAAAGTAAGTAATGTCTTCTTTAACCTCCAGAGCTGTGCCAGTTCTTGTAACATTACTGCCCTTGCTGTATTAAGGACTACAGATTTCACATTTGAGGATCTAATTTTCAGAGTTCCTCTTCAGTTAAGCAAAGTGTGCTAGGGTTAAGAGAGATCTGGCAATAGGGGGAGATGTGGTGAGGATGTTAATCTGCCTCAAGTGTGGAGTGGAACCTGCATGATTTGGTAACCAGCTAGATGTTAAGAAGGGTATAGTAAAACAAGAATTCTTTCTTTCTTTCTTTCTTTTTTTTTTTGAGACAGGGTTTCTCTGTGTAGTTTTGGTGCCTGTCCTGGATCTTGCTCTGTAGACCAGGCTGGCCTCGAACTCACAGAGATCTGCCTGACTCTGCCTCCAGAGTGCTGGGATTAAAGGCATGTGCTACCACTGCCCTGCTAAAACAAGAATTCTTTAATTAAGGTTCCAGGTGTTTGGAACTCTGAGCCTTTTCGGCATCTTCAGGGTTTTGGGTCTTGAAGATTCCTTGAATATTCATTTTTTATCAATCACAAAAGAAAGAAGAGAGAAATCAGGCTTGGAAGAGTTCTGGACATTTTAAATATGTATCCTATTTAAGAATTTCTTGAAATATTCTATCAAATACTTTGAATCATCACTCAAGAGAGGGATTTGGTATTAAGTTAGTGCAATTTTATACAAGTACATTAAAGATTAATAAAGTGCTATTTAGATGGTTGCTTACAACAAAGTAAACAGACAGTAGATGAAGGATTAAAGTATAAAAGAAACTTTAATGGCAGACTATGGAGGATCTTGTGGAACTGTCACATATCCTAGCAAGTATCTGTAACTCCAGAACTCAGATGTCTGAGATCTGAGGATCATGGGTTGGAAGCCAGCTTGAGCTACAGAGGAAAAAAATCTGTTTCAAAATAATACATAACCTATGAATATCACCTTTTAAA